TTCGGCGTCAGCGCAAGGGCTCCACACGCAATCGCTACCGCCATTGTCCCATACATGACTGGTTCGTTAATTCATTAGCTTTTGCGACATCTTGCAACTGTCATGAACCGGTTCGCTATGGCACTGTAAGGATTATATTTGGATTGAAGAAAGAGTAGGAAAGTTCTAGCGAGGCTTGAGAGCCTCATTTTCAAAAGGGAATTCCTCAGGAAGTACTTGACTGGAACTTTCTTCTTTACTAATACCGGTCAGAAGCAGCTGTTAAAAACGGGACAGGAATTGTGCTTGATGTTGATCGATCCTTTTCTACTTANTTAGTGTGCCATGCGGTTGGTGTCCAATGAATAAAGTGATGAAGTGACAATTTCTGGATTGATACTCCTTTTCCCCTTCACTTTCTTTCCGTTAAGGCGAGAATTCCTCTTTCTTTGGTCCCCTGATTCAATTCTTTGTGGTATGTGCAGAAGTTTATGAAGAAATGATGCTGTGGCGAGCTAAAATTAATAGGTAAATGTTTCTGACGTTGATTTGTGTCAAGTGCATGGCGTATCCCACGTCGTCTCTGTACACAGAAGCACAGTGGTGTCCAGCACAGGTGTTGGATGCATATGTGGTCAATGAATGGCTGAGCCAGTGTACCTGTCAGTTAGTACCGATATCCTCGCTCTCAAATAATGCATCGTTTTGGTGACTTTGAGAGATTCATAACTACTAAGTAACTTTCTTGGTTCGGCAGATGCGCGATTAACGTCTACCTGAATACTTAGGGGCCACTGCTTCTCGCATATCGATCTGGGATTCGATCCCCGTAACACATGTGTGATAGTGAGCCAATTGCTACTACACTAGCTCCCATCTTATTGCTAGGAGAATAGCTCATGGAAATCGGAATTTGAGCGGAAATTTTCAAAAAAAAAGCGATAAAATATGTAGTCTTTGAGGCGACTAGTTCGGCCCAGCGCAGTATGTACCCACTCAATTTGATATAGTAAGTTTTATTATATCCATAATAGATCTACGTCACTGTAATTATCTTTTGCGACTACGTGTTTGACAGTATTTATAGTCCATTTTTAGCCACTTCTGATTTCCATCTGATCAGGCGCTATACTCATATGTCTGGAGGAAGTCATGACCTTTTAAATCGGGGAAGTTCAGATTAGATAAGTCGGCACTATTTACCCTTTACTGCCCCACTCTGTCGAGAAAGGGCTGGATTTCTATCGAATTTTTTCAAAGAAGATGGAACCGGCTAAAAAGAACCTTGCCGAGAGCGGTAGTTT